ACACAAACAAACATCAAGGGAGTAGGAGTCAACACGGATGTTATCATGATAGTAGAAGCAGCTGAATGATTTCCTTTTGCATACATAACTCTGGTTTTTCCAACTGAATGAATGGCTAAGACTTCACCAATGCAAAGGAGACGAAAGCGTATTGCCTTTGGTAGATTGTTCTTCACCTTGGAGATCACTTTGAAGCAGTAGGAGGTGTTTGTTGAGATGGAATGACCAGTGTTGTTGACAAGATGTTCGATCATTATCGCACACCTTATAGAGCCACTACTACCTTTTAGCAGCCATGCAGTGGGATAGTGTTCTCCGTTCGTTTTTGAACAGGATACGCGTCGAGCGACCATTGTACCTGGCTGGCTGCACAGGTGAACAGAGGTAGCCATATGCGAAATCTCGTTTTTAAGGCTTCTGCAAACCAATAGACGACTTTAGAATACTACCCTTGCCATTGCTACGAAGAATATTTTTTCCAAAGATGCTGAAATTCTCCTCCTAAGGATATCACAAAGTACGTCTCTCTTGAAATCCAGATTCATGTGAAGTATCTTTTTTGAAACAAGTGATGTTTCGTTCCTCTGGACATTGGTCGATGAATCTTGGTGGGTATGTATTTGGCCGAAGATTTCTTTCACAGAAGATCCATTTTTGCTTTCAGGTTGTCCGAACTGCAAATGAGTCGGATGCGAGTGGTAAGGGATTTAATTAGACTTCATTCTTGTCCAACGGACACCCAATTGTAGAAACTTGTTTGGTGACCGTTCCAAATAAGTTTTCTATGGACTGGACATTTTTAAGGTTCTCTCAGGTGGTCTTGTTAATTCCAGATCAAAAAATGGGATTTTCGTCGGGTTTTCCTTTCCTGGAGTGAATTTTATTGCTGGATGACAGTTGTTAAATACTTGTAGTAACTGACTGGGGTCACAGGCAGAGTTATTTATGTATGCAAAAGGAAATCATTCAACTGCTTCTACTATCATGATAACATCCGTGTTGACTCCTACTCCCTTGATGTTTGTTTGTGTGCGCCTGCCTTTATTTTCTAACTCCTTTTAACTCTTGTATTCTTCTTTACAACTCTTACATGACTCCATAGTTTCCCTCCACTTCATTTCTATGTGCATCTTAATCAAAACTCACTCATTAAATTATTCATCTTATTGCGCAACTGCAATGCTTTTTGACAACTCATCACCACTAACCCTCATACTAATCTTCACCCACCCTCCGCCCCTTAGTTACAATTTGATTATTTGTCCCATTTTTTGATGAGGTAAACAGTAAACCCAACTGATTTTTATGTTTATCAGATAAACCTAATGTACACACACACACAAGCAGGAACATGAATATATATATATATGTGTATAATTGCGGTTGTACATCGCCAATTGTCACTACCCATATGTTCTTAGAATCCCGGGGACCAAAACCAAGAAGCCTACATCTTCCTACAAGACTGACTCAAAATAAACTGATTCCGGTGATGTTCTGGTTTCACCACACTGTTAACTCTTTTCCAAAGTGATCCTATGTCAGCTAACATTTCTCAAATAGGAAGGCGACGGCTAAGGAGGAGGCATAGGTAACGCTAAGCCGAACTCGGGAGGAACAAACGAGGGAAAATCAAGCGGGCTTTAGACCAGGTAGAGGGTGCATAGATCATATCTTCACTCTCCGACAGATCCTAGAACATAGACACACTTTTAGGCGTCCAACAATTGCCATATTTCTTGACTTGAAGGCGGCCTTCGACTCCGTGGATCGAAAGGTACTATGACAATGTTTGACTGTGAAGGGAGTGCCAAGAAAGCACATTGCACTAATCAAGGCACTCTGCTCAAACTCACGTAGCCGTGTAGGGGTTTATGGGGAATTGTCATCTGAATTGATAACAACCAGTGGTGTCCGTCAAGGATGTCCACTTTCCCCATTTCTGTTTAACTTGATCATAGATATGCTAATGGAAGTATCCTTAACTGAACTTAACGACTTAGGGAAATCGACTTGTTACCAGGGAATAATCTTATGGACATAGAGTATGCAGATGACATAGTCCTGTTAGGGGAGGATACTGACGAAATGCAGAGTCTTCTGAACACCTTGAGCAGCAATCTCCGTATGTTTGGCATGCGATTCGCCCCTGAAAAATGTAAGATGCTGCTACAGGAATGACTGGACTACGTCAACTCCTAGCTTAGTAGTGATAGGGAGTGAAGTGATAGAACATGTTGACCACTTCACCTATTTGGGAAGTTGTATCTGCAACAATGGATTGATTGGTGACGAAATCTCAGCACGGATTCAAAAAGCTCGAGCTGCTTTCGCTAACTTACACCGTCTCTGGCGTAGGCGTGACATCCGGCTATCAACCAAGGGACGTGTATACTGCTCATCAGTTCGCTCCGTCCTTCTCTATGGCTCTGAAACATGGCCAGTCAATACGAGTTGAAGACACGAAAAGGTTGACTGTTTTTGATCATAGATGTCTACGATCTCTTTCTCACGTTAGGTGGCATAATAAGGTAAGTAATGTTGACGTTAGGCGTAGAGTGTTGGGCAAAGAGGGAAAATCAATCCACGAGGCTATAAAGTTACATAGATTGAGATGGCTAGGTCACGTGCTGCGCATGCCTAACCATCGCCTCCCCCTCCCGACGGGCATTACTAGCTGATATAGGTGCAGGTTGGAAAAGAGTGAGTGGTGACATGCCAAACAAAAACATGGCATCAATCAATCCATGAAATCCCTGACAGTTAAACTGAGTCAGGTAGGGAGATGCAGACTTCCGGGTTGGGGCCCGCCCTCGGGACTCTAAGAATCAATGGCTGGAGACAGACAATAGGTGTGACATGGCTCAAAATCGTTGTCAATGGCTTACGCAGATGTATTCAGTCTCTTGTGTAATCTTTCATATTCCTTTCTACCATTACTCATTCTGTTTCATTCTTATACTTGTCAAAACTCTATTGATTGATTCTCTTCACTCATTCATCTTCTTGTCTACCTTTGTGTGCTATTTGGAACGTGGCAACTGGAACTGGTGCACTTCGGTGACAAGTTCTATGTTGAATCCAGACAGAGACATACCATCAGAAAATGATAGCAACGTAATCTTTTTGAGTCAAGGATTGAGTTGTAGATGGAGGACGCCAGGTCATAATACGTCGATGGCAGCACAGCTGCACTTCGGTGCCAAGTTCAATGTTGAATCCAGACAGACAGGTAACACATATCCTGACCACCTGACAATCGATGTAGCTTTGTAACTCCATCGACTACTGATTTTTCCCTGCTTACCTAATACATGACACGCCTAAACTCAACACACTACTTACCCTGTTATGTTATACACCACATAACATGTATGAACACAGACAGCTAACCTTTTCATCATAACTTCCGCGCTTTCAATGACAACAAATGCTACTCTCTCTCTCACCCAATGAACCAGAGGAATTTGCGAAGATGATGTAATAAAATAAAAGCTAACTATCAGCAGATCGCCGATGACGCTCTTAATTGTCGTGGACTGGATTAGGCGTCAGATTCTGCGTTGGAGTGAGTGAGTGAGTGAGTGCGTGCGTGCGTGCGAAGACAAGAATACGCTGCACTGAAGGATAAGAAGACTCTAGTAGATTTAGACTTCATGCGTGGATGATTTATGTGTTAATGTCAGCCGGTGGGTGTGTGCTGTGGAATAGTCCCAAACTAGGCTGACGAAACAGCTGGCTGTCCAGTACTCCCCGCAGGTTTTCCAATGGTTTTCTAAGTGGTACCAGCTCATGATGTAATCCACCACCTAATGTCACAAACTTGAAGAATTACAGGCGAAAACTAACAAACTGGCAGAAGACGCTGGCTGACAGCGAGGATAGGACTCCTTCCAGGTGAACATAGAAAAGGTGGGGATGGAGGTGATGAAGATAACCGATCAACATCGCCACCATCAGCAACAACAGCCGGCACCAATCACCATCAACGGGAGAGATTTAACAGAGGTTACTTCCTTCACTAATCACTTATCTTGGAAGCATCGTTTCAACCACAGACAGTGGGAACCTATGAAGATGTCAAAGCCAGCCAGACAGCCAGCCAGAATCGGAAAGCCGAGATACTCCTTCATCAACCGGAAACCAGTTCGGAAATCTTCTGCAGTCCACTTTAGCATAAAGAAGAACGTTCGGATTTTAAACACAAACATCAGTGAAGTCAGTCAGTCACCTTTTCTATACGGGTCAGAAACTTGCACTGCGTGTGTGTCACGAAAAGCATTTCCAACAGGTCACTACTACAGACTTTTACCAACTGCTGCCACCTTAGCTAGCTGGCTGGCTCCTTACTGAGGATCAAATAGCCAGGAGGCCAGTCGAATAGCCGGAAAGAAACAAGAAACAACAAGAAACTCTGGCAATGGACAAACCAACCGAGAGCTGCCGATCGCTCAACAAATATGTCGGAGGAAATAGATATGAACTGATCAGGCATACGCTGAGGAAGAGGCCGTCGAATGACATGGCATACAATGCAGACCATTGGCTTGAGTGGAATCCCAATGAGAGGCGACGGGCGAGTGGATCGTCGGTGTGACTATGACGTGGAGGAGATCATGTGGGGGAGTTGGAGGGAGAGGAGATGAGCGATAATGGGGATTACACCTTGATTCCACAAAGTATTTTTTTTGGTACAGGTATGGAATTTTCAGCATGTGATATCGGTAGCCCAAATTTTGCAGGCCGACCATAGAGATGTCAGGTGTGCGACAGCAGGGGATCGAACCACGGACCATGTGCATGGTCGGCGAGAGTCCTAACCACTGTGCCACCGACGCACAGATAAAAACAAGTTAAAATGATGACAAAGCCTTCAAACAGTCACACTAACACCTAAAAAGTAGTTTTATCAGTTAGGTGTGCCACATTTACTCCTAAAACAAAACAAAACAAAAAAACTCATGAAGTAAAATATCTCAGTAACCTCAGTAACAACTTACCATTTGCCAAATTTGTAAAATATTATCCTCAGAAACAGAACAAATAGTCCATGGGTCATTAATATTCCATGAAAAATCGGAAATTTTCGCTGTATGCCCAGCATGTATGAATAATAATTCCGGTGGACCATCATCTGCATCTTCAGGAGACTGATCAATACCAATTTTGCTTAAATCCCAAACATGAAGACGTCGGTCAGTACCTGAACTAGCAAGTATTGTTTCATTATGCGGTGACCATTGGACCTGTTAGTGTAAGGAGAATAATAAACATATTCAATAAGTATTATAATACAAATGATAATAATAATAAACCATGCACTCCTAGGTCCCCGTAAGCTGGTGATAGTAAAGATGCGAAGTTGGGCGTTGGGCTAACAAAGCCACTGCTCCAGAAACTTTGGAGCTTAAACTTGAAGCCCTATGTTTTACCAGGAACGTAAAGGAATAAAATAAATTATAAGTAGTCTTACCGAGAAGACATAACACCACATTCGAGCTGAAGAAGCGTCGGAGGAAAGAGTTTAATTGTTCTACAAGGAACGGATGGCGTTGGTGTTTCAGTTGGAAACCATTTCCTCAAACTGTTCAAAACCATGATTATCATTATTTCCTTTAATTCCTAGAGGAACATAGGGCTTCAGCCGCTCACGTCTCAATTACGTTCGCTTCTCTGCTAAAGTTTCCACCTGGCCACATGCTTTCATCTCCTCTTCACATGACCTCCTCCAAGTCAACCTTCGATGACCAATTCGCCGCTTCCAATTCGGTCGGGTTCCACTCGAGCAATGGCTTGTCCAGTGATGTCACTTGATGGTTCATTTCCTCAGAGTATGGCCATAATCCAATCCACCTGCAATTCTGCCTGCCTATTTGTTGCACAGTCGGTTCCTACTGTGTTGATTCGCTCATTACCAGAGATCCCACCCTGTTGCTGATCTTTTCTGGCCGGCCATCTGATCTTGAGCGGACTATTGAGCGAAGACAGCTGTTGATGATGGTCTGTAGCTTGTTTGATGTGCTCTTTATGACGTGCCACGCACTGACTTCATCACATTGGAGTTGAAAATCCGGCTCTTATTTTTCATGCTGAGCAGTGCTGTTGATCTGCTTCACACAGACTTGAGAGTAGTGAAAGCTTGTCTTGCTTTTCCGATCTTCACTGCTTTGATATCCTCGTCAGTTCCGTCCGCCTGTAGTTGAAACGATGCTTCCCAGGTAGGTAACAACAACAACAACAACAACAACAACAACAACAACAACAACAACAGTAGTTGATGTTATTTTCATTCAAGCATCGAGATTACTCTACTTTGGTCAACAATTCGGAAGACTGACACATACACACACACACGGACAAACACAAACCCAGAAACCAAATGTCTATCACACAAATCACATTGGTACAACCTGTTCCAACTGTTCACATTTTGTTATAAGAAGTAATAATAATAATAATTTGCTTTATTCCAGAAACATTACTAGTGGTACAGTGTGGAATTTCCAGCACATATCTACAATATTTGCATCTAATTTTAGCAAACATTTAAAAGGAGTATTTAACAAAAAAAATAAATAAATCTAAAGACACCAACAGCAAAAAAAAACAAACAGGAAAAACAGGATAAACACAAAAATAATGTTTTTTTAAATGCGAAAAAATACCAAGAAGTAGAAAGGAAAATAAACATCACATAATAATAACTCAGTGTTGGGTAGTGGAAGCTATGATATGATTATGCATGGTGACAGTAAAGCTATAGTCATACAAGAAGTTATGGAATGATATTTAAGAAAGTTTATCGACAAGATGATCAGTTAATTTGGTTGAAACAACTCTAAACACTCATGAAATAACATTTCAGGGTTGTTGTTTTGTTTTTTATTGTCAGGTCTAATGCAGTGTTTGTAGTGGTAGTGTGAGTAATCCTGCATAATACAAAATTTCTTAAGGTGGTGACAATGGCGTTCACAACCAATGACTGTCAGTTAATAGTGCCGAAAAAGAATGAAAAATAAGAAAGAAAACAACCACAAAACTAATAATTACATGATGGTTGATGACAGGACAATTTTGTAATACTTATGGTGCTAATATAGTCGGAACCAGTAGATACACAAAAGAAGGAATAGAGTAAAGTACAAAACAGGAAGACAATGTTAATAATTTAGGTAGCCAAGTATGTTTAAGAAGGAGTTCACTATAGAATACAAAATAAAAGAGAAATAAAAGAGCCTAAAATTATGTTATTAACAACAAAGCAACAGGGATGATTTTAATATCTTTCCACAGAGAAGGTACAACATTATTAAAAAAGAACTGTTGAAAATGTTTGTAAGCGGGTTACTTAAAATATCAGCACATTTCCTTAGGACAACGGCAGGTATATCATCAGGACCTAGACTCTGGGAAGGTTTAAGAGATTTTAAACATCAGAAGTTTTAAAACTATTAAAGTCACTGGTCATGTTATTTGTCACACTGAAGCTAAAAGAAACATTATGAGAGCAGATAAAAGATCTATTAAGAGTATTTACATCAATAGAGGGGGCACAAAAACTGTGCTTACCACAACCCGTAATTTCTTTGAAAAGCTTCCACATGTTCCCTGGAGTTTTACATGACAAAATTCTTTGATTATAAATATTGTTTATCATTATTATTATTGTTCCCTTGGGTTCCTAGTGGAACATAGGGCTTCAACTGCACGTCTCCACTTGCTTCTGTATTCTCCTGTACTTTTCACCTGTATCCATGTTAGTCCATACTGTTTTAACTCCTCTTCACACGATCTCCTCCATGTCACCCTTGGACGTCCCACTCGCCGCTTCCCTTCCGGGTTCCACTCGAGCGATGGCCTGACGCGCGATGTCACCCAGCGGCCTCCCCCTCAGCGAGTGTCCAATCCATCTCCACTTTCTCCTGCATATTTGTTGAGCGATTGGTTCCTGATTTGTTTGTTCCATAAATATTGTTTAGCCTCTTGATTTCGGATTTAATTTGGATGTTTATCCTCCTAAGACCAGCTTTATCCTTAGTCTTGTACAGTTTCTCTTTTTCTCTTCGACGCTTTTTGTGATGAGGGGAAGAGAAACGGCCTATTCTTTTGAAAAGTATCTGTTTTGGACAGCACACACATCAAGGCAGAATTTAAGATAGTCCGTCAGATTGGAAATAGTATCATCCAGTGTGTGTTCAGTGAAAAGTTCGCAGTTTGTGTCATTTAACATACATCTTAGTTTGAGCACGTTTTCTTGCGAGTAACATCTTTGTTGTGTTTTCCTGGAGAGATTTGAGAGGATGTTAGAGTGATATCTGCTATATATCTTGGGTAATATCCGAATAATACAATGATCAGAGTTCATTATAGGAGCACGTCTGCGTGCTTCATATATTTCCGCATCATTAGTAAATACTAGATCCAGCGTTTTATCAAGTATGCTACCTTACGAGATAATTTCACGCAGATAAATCATCACAATTCTGACTACAAGTAAAGTGAACGCAAAGTATTAAAATCAATCAATCAAGCCATTATAGCGTGTGCGTAGATGATTTATTGGCCTCCATTTGCTATGATATCAGCACTATTATTCCCTTACCTTCCACCAAGTGGAACATAAGACTGGCTTCAGCAACACATCTCCATTTCATCCAGTTTTCTACAGTCTTTCTCTGAGCTGGCTGCACAACTGCCTATACTCTTTCTTTCATTTTCGCTGAATACAATCTCTTTTTTCATATCACCCCGAGATTCACTGCCAAATGATCGTCTCATATTCGGCTTGCAATTCATTTTTTTCTTTTTTCGACATATTTTTCAGCTATGAGTTCTTGATTCGTTCGCCTCCACAGGTCCTTGTTGCTAATGCTTTCTGGAACATCTGATCTTCCGTATGGAGGCACACAAAACAGCTGTTGATAAAAGTCAGCAGTTACCTATAAACCATATAGATTAAAAAGTATTGGTTTTGTAGGCAATTTGTTTGTTTCAGCCTAGTTTGGGACTCTTCAACAGTACGTACCCACCTCAATGGGTGGGTTCGAACCCAGGACCTTCTGGTTACAAGGCCAGAGAGCTCGTAGAGCATTAGGTCACTGGGACTTGCTCGATCCAATGACCAGAGAGCCCATGAATTCTAACTTCTGCCAATTTATGGCATAGTGTTGAAAATCTAAAAATCTTCCTCTGTAGGCTCAAACGCAGCAGATTCTTGCAGAGTTTCGGAGTAATAAAGGTATCATTTCATTATGAGTAAATTTTGTTTTGACAAAGTCCCACAGTGTTGCTATGCAGTAATGTTTACTGATGACGTTTCGAGCACAATTTATTACTGCTCATAATCATATCAAGGTAATCACACGACTTCCTAAATTCATTTATATAGTTCCATTGTTTTTCACTTGATTTGATTGGTAGTAATATTTTCCATATTTCGGGTATGAGTGATGGATCATTCCTATTGCATGTGTTGGGTGTAGATTCGATGAACCACGATTCAGTAATCAATCTCTCTCTCCACCTACATAGATTACTTCTTCGAATCTTAACCTTCTCCCACCATGCCATTGTGTGGTTGTGTGTTAATGCATGCATTGCAATTGCCGAGCTTTTTTCTAAATTACTTATCTTCTCTGGGTCAACCATTCTTACCTTAGCTAAATTCTTATGTTCCGACAATCTGACTACCCCTGACCTACTAGTTTGACCTATGTAGTTGACCTCACAGTCATTGCAGGGTATTTTGTAAATTATATTATTTTGTCTAACTGGGTCAACTGGGTCCTTTAACCTACAGAGCTAGGAAGTCGTGTGATTACCTTGATATGATTATGAGCAATAAATTGTGCTCGAAACGTCATCAGTAAATAATACTGTATAACACCGTGAGACTCAATCAAAATAAAAATTTACCCATAATGGAACCCACCTTTTGGTCGATAGCCGGATATCGTGTCTACTAAGCCAGAGACGGCGTAAACTGGCGTTTGCGAAACTAGCTCTCTGTATCCGGGCTGAGATTTCGTCAGAGATCACCCCGTTGGCACTGGCTGATGGTACTTCCCAAATAAGTGAAGCGGTCAACGTGCTCTACTAACCACTTCACTCCTTATTTCTAAGCTAGGAGTGAGTCGATGTAGTCCAGTCCTGTAACATCATCTTACATTTGGCGGAAGCGAGTCGCATACCAAACATTCGTAGATTGCAGCACATCTATGACGAAATTGAATAGGAATGGGGATAGTAGGCATCCTTGACGGACGCCACTAGTCGCCACCACTTCAGATGACAACTCGCCGTAAGCCCTCACCTGGCTGCATGAGTACGAGTAGAGTGCCTTAATCAGTGCAATACATGACAAAGAAAGCAGAAAAGGAATATTGTCCACATGTAAATAAGAAGCCTATATATATATACGACTGCAATTCAAGGCCTGAGATATAACAAGCGAAATAATTACGAAGAAACTAAGAAAATCAGTTCAAAGAACTTTTAATGCTGGCAAACTACACGTCTTATTCTCTATAAAACCGATGGTGATTCCTCGACTGGAAGATGACCTACCTGGACTAGACTAGCTGGCCACTTCAAATTGTATCTACCAATTCAACTGCAAGTGTGCTTGTGGAGCGAGTTATGTTGGCCGTTGCTATAGGAACTTGACTTTTCGTTCTCGAGAACGTCTCCCAGTATGGCTAAGTAAGGGTGTAGTAAAAACCGTCATCAGTTCGATATTAGACCACAGACACAAAGCTATTATTATTGAAGAATCCTTCTCTATTATCTATTGGGTGCCAAATAAATTGCCAAAAACATCGAAGTGCCGCATGCTTCAAACAGCAGAGGCTATTGCAATTCGTGTGAAACAACCAGTGCTCTGTTTACAGAAGAAACAGGTCCAACTAATCACTATTACTACCCTGGCCTGCTGTGGCGTCTGTAAATTCATAAATACCTTATTACATCGTCCTTTTTGATATGACCCTACATTCTGTACGCTTAAATCCCCCTACCCCTCTTTATCACACCTGCGTTAACTAACCTTTTGCTTTCCTATTTAGCCGTAGCTGTCAACTTACACACTGAAACAAATGCACACACACAAAGCACAGAACCTTCTAACCCAAATTTTTTCCCTCTCCCCGTCCTTAACATGACCATTCATCCATAAATAAACAGGAAGTTTGCATAAGAAAGTCAATGGGTTAGTCAAAGAAGACTTCCGAACAAGTTCAATCCGTCCCGAAGAAGATACTTCAGCTTAATCTAGAATTCAAAGGTGACATTGGAGCAGAAATCCTTCGTAAACGCCTCTGCAAATCTCTGAGGAAGACATACTGCGCCACGAGCCTACGAATAACGTTTTCCTGCAAGAAACTGTTCAACCAGAACGCGAAAGACAAACTGTCACATTGGGCCACTTCAACGTGCATGTATCTGTTAACTTGCTCTCTGGCGGAGCTGAGTACATCGGCCGTACCATGCGTCAGCTTGAAAAACGCTCTCATGAACACTACCTAGCCTGGCTAGTAAAAGGACAACGAAAACGGGTGTATAGTTCAGTGACATTCAGCGCCATTCGAAAAATCCTTCAAAATAATAATATACAAGATTCGATCAAACCTATCAAAAGGAGTAAAATCAAGACATCTGGGCATAGCCGAGGCACTAGCCATCCAAAAGCTTAAACCCACGCTATGTATCCAAAAGAAGTGCATCCAACCCTTGTCCCTGCTATGGCCATCATAAACAGGTATTTCTTTTAGTAATGACCATCCCATTGACTTTCTTGTCCAAACTTCCTGTTTATTCATTTTATTTAAGTTTTTCTTAATCCCTCCTATTTACACTGCCATATTTTCATATCCGAACTTCCCGTTTATTTTGTCATTTCCCTGATTGCATAAACAATTATTCGTCACATTAGTTATGATCCCACTAGATTTCGTTATACAAACATTCTGTCTATCTGTTGTTGTTATTTCTACATTTCTAACCCCTAATTGCACAATCAGTGTCAATCGTCTCAGTAATTATGATGCTACTTTGTCTGAGCTTTATCCGTCCCACCACCCTGTTTATTATGGCATTCTAATTCCTAATTGTAATTTTTTATTAATTTGACCCTTAACCGGAAATTATTCTGGAAATTTCCCATCTATTTGATATAAATACACGAATGTACAACCTCTTAGTTGATGACTTCGTCGAAAAGAAAAGCTTTTCTTCCTCGCTGCAACTGTCTTTTTATATTATTCCCTATTATCAAATGTGTACATTCTTTCATTATTATTATGGATGGATGCATATATAACAACTGTAGAACCTGATGATAAAGAGCAGGTAGGTTATCATTGAAAATGTGAATATTCTTCGTTCACTAATCAATCGTTTGAAGGCAAATAGTTAAAAGCAGGCCTATATATATAGACATTAGATAGCCTCAATAGACTGGCGCACTCCTTTACCTCACTAAACCAGAACTAAAAGCTGGTGAAGAGGAAAGGTTGGGCATGTGGCTAGCAACCCCATCCTGTAAAAATAAAAACTGCTACAGAAACTTCAAGCCTATAGCTTGAAGCCCTATGTTCCACTGGGGAACGTGAAGGAGTAAAAAAATAGACTGACACTAACCTGAAATATTTCATCACGATGAGACTCAAAAGAGTGCAGTTTCAATCGCGGATTACGTAGATCCCAAAGAGCCACCGTCTGAAAGTAACATATAAAGGAGTAATAAATCTGTTCGACCGACAAGTACCAAACAAAACTTCAAACTATCAACAACACCTATTATCATGAGCTGACATTAGTTAGAGAACCATTGGAAAACCAGCTGGGAGTACTGGACAGCTGTTTCGTCAGCCTACTTTGGGACTCTTCATCAGTACTCACCCACCGGGCTTCAAACCCAGGACCTTCTGGTTACAAGGCAAGCTCGTATACCATTGAGCCACTGGGACCCGATCCAATGGCCCATGAATTCTAACTTCTGCCAATTCACGACATAGCGCGACCCCTAGCCAATGTCTTCGGCGAGTATTTGTCCTCACACCCAACCTGCTGCACCCTACTGGTCACGACTTCTCACTAGAACTACAGGTTGTCCAGTGGTTCTCTAACTAATGTCAGCTCATGATGAAAATCCTGTAACCAATCAAATCCCTACAAACCAACACTTGAATATCAATGAGATGCTCACTAGCGACTTGCCCTATTCAGGTGGGTAGTCACCTGGGGTTCTAGTGAGAAGTCGTGACCAGTAGGGTGCAGCAGGTCGGGCGTGAGGACAAATACTCGCCGAAGACATTGGCTAGGGGTCGCGCTATGTCGTGAATTGGCAGAAGTTAGAATTCATGGGCCATTGGATCGGGTCCCAGTGGCTCAATGGTATACGAGCTTGCCTTGTAACCAGAAGGTCCTTGGTTCGAATCCCGGTGGGTGCATACTGCTGAAACAGCTGTCCAGTACTCCCAGCTGGTTTTCCAATGGTTCTCTAACTAATGTCAGCTCATGATGAAAATCCTGTAACCAATCAAATCCCTACAAACCAACACTTGAACACCTATTATATAGTTCCAATATTAGATGAATTTATCTGATATAATACAGAGTGAAGAAGTTTTAATAACTAAATAACGTTATGAACACAATTTATTGCACAGCAGTGTATTCACACGACTTCATAACTTATCCCACCGTAAACGATATGGTATGCCTGAGAGTGGATAGATTACAGTGTTCCCCACCCAACCCCCCCCCAAAATGCTCTAATGTGACTACGCGATCATAGATTTAAATTCGGAACTGATTTATGTCACTTTCCTATCTAATCATACAACGGTAGTTCCATGCCATTGGACCCAGGTGGGATGGAAATTGGCCGAACAATGTGGAAGGCGAATGGTCAAATTAATGATTACAGACGCACATTATCGGATCAAGAAATATCAACAAATAATAGATGTCCAAAAAGAAAAACTAGAGAAAAACCACACCCTCAACCAGGAACACCTACGTGTCAACACTGATCACCGCAATTACATTGTCAAGTAGAAGAAAACACAGAGAACACACAAGACGGAGAGTCCTCAAAATCAAGCTAGCCAAGATAAGAAAACCACAACAACCAGACAATACACCTATTGACTGCGTAGTCAACCTATCAAAAGTGGAACAACAACAACTACTACAAAAGGGATTAAACTACAACACCGGAGATGCTTAGAAAACTGATTTCTTCGCTGCCCCCGTGAATCATTCATTACTCAAATCATCAAACCCTTTCGGGTTCCACTCGAGCAATGGCTTGTCTAGTAATGTCACTCACTTGATGGTTTCCTCAGAGTATGGCCACAATTCAATCCATCTCCATTTCTTCCTGCCTATTTGTTTCACAATCGGTTCCTGCTGTGTTGGTTCGCTCATTGCCAGAGATCCCACTGTGTTGCTTATCTTTTCTGGCCATCTGATCTTGAGTGGTATTGAGCGAAGACAACTGTTAATGAAGGTCCGTAGTTTGTTTGAGATGCTCTTTATGACGCACAGTGCAACTCTCTGATCCGTATAGTGAGTAGCACTGACTGACTTCACATTGGAGTTGAAAATCCGGATCTTATTCCCATTTTGATGCTGAGTGCTGTTGACCTCCACACAGACTTGAGAGTAGTGAGAGTTTGTCTTGCTTTTCCGATTCTTGCTTTGATATCCTCGGCAGTTCTGTTGGCCTGTAGCTGAAACGAGGTAGGTAAAAGAGGTTGTTTCTTTCAGGTTCCTCCCATTTATGCTGATTGTTGTCTGTTGTTGTTGTCGCTGTTGGTGGTGTTTAAAGGAATCTTCATCACCTCTGTTTTCTCTATGTTCACCTGAAGTATGCATGAGGTGGAAATCGCAAAACTAAGTTTCTGAAACATTATATATATATATATACTTTAATAAATCAAAAATATTGTTTTGTCTATAGGATAATACGATGGTGAATATAAATTGTGCAATTAGTCATAATAGTAGTAATGATAATAATAATTATAGTAATAATAGAAATGGTCTTATCAATAATAAGGATGAAAAAAAATGATGCAATCTGTGATAACACGAATAATGAAAAATGAAAAACAGCATAATTAAACAAACAAATGTTCAGGTCGACGTGGTAGTCGATAAAGGCTAGTAAAAAAACAAATGTGAACCGATTAAGTAATGTTAGATTGTGTTGTAGTTGTAAGTCAGTTACCTACCTTGTCCGCACTGCCTGTTGCAATAATAAACTCAGAGAATGGATTAAAAGCCAGACAGTTGACTTCAGCTGTATGCGCATCGACTTGATGCTGTGGTTTACTACGATTTGAACTACGCGTATCCCAAATCATCAGTTTATTATCATCAGCCACAGAGCCGAAAATATGTCCATGAAAAAGATGCCAGGAAACATCTTCGACAACGGAATGATGTCCTGTAAATATGGCCATAGCATTGAGATTACAACCGTCCAACGGTGTTGCATTAATATCCCACAGGCAGATTGTCTGATCATCGGAGGCTGAAAGCAGATGACCACTGAGTAATACATTCCAAGACAAGCCATAACCTTCTTTATGATGACCCTGAAATGTTGAAAAGACTATAGAGGTAATAAAGTTGAAGGACAACACACACGTGACAATTAATACGCTGTATAATAATAATAATAATACAAACTAGAAAATACCATCTACCTACCTCTCTCTAGGTAATAAGCGATATTACAAGCATTCAGGAATTTAAAACAATTCATGACAAATTACAGTGCCAAAGAAGAAACACTGTTTATGAGTCTGGAATTCAAAGGTGACACCATTTCGGAATTGATTAAAAATCGTTTATCTAAATGTATTAAACGCATTTTTCCTGCAGATGACTTGCAACTAGTTTTTACCAGCCGTAATATGATTATAAGATTTGATAGTGTGAAAAATTCCCATATTATGAATTAAAAGTCAATCTGAACGAAGAATATTCTTTTCAATAATTTCTCCTATTCAGGTTCTTACAGTTATAAAATATAATATTTGTTGTCGTTACAATAAGGCCAGTTATGCGGCAGATACATTTTTTAACGTAGAATAACAGATTATCTCATACATTTGGTTCCCTTGATAAATTTCGATAGAGAAAGAAAGACCAGATTTGCAGTATAAAATGATATGATTCTATTTCACAGGTTCTCATCAGCTGCAAACTACCTGAAATTACAATGGTTATAATTAATAATATTTCATACTTCATTGTTTGAAAGGTGATACAGAAAGCATTATAAGATAAACGCATCCGGAATATAAGGAATAGAATTTTTTTGTAGCTTAAGTTACCATCAATTTATATACTATCAAACTATGGCAAAGAGAAAGAAAAAAAGGGGGGGGGGGTGAGAAAAGACAGAAAACAGAAAAATCTAATAAAATCATGTTGACACTGTTTATTAGATTTTTCTGTTTTCTGTCTTTTCTCACCCCCCCTTTATTTCTTTCTCTTTGCCATAGTATGATAGTATATAAATTGATGGTAACTTAAGCTACAAAAAAATTCTATTCCTTATATTCCGGATGCGTTTATCTTATAATGCTTTCTGTATCACCTTTCAAACAATGAAGTATGAAATATTATTAATTATAACCATTGTAATTTCAGGTAGTTTGCAGCTGATGAGAACCTGTGAAATAGAATCATATCATATTATACTGCAAATCTGGTCTTTAATTCTCTATCGAAATAACAGATTAGCGGTTATGGTGAGTCAAAATAAATAGTCGTATTTGTGTGACAAACGTGCTAGGCTGAATTCGATTACAAAATAATGTAAAACGGGAGACAATGGTGAATAATCATAATAGATTTGTAGAGTGGGGTAGGAAAATTGACAAGTCAGTTCAAGGTTATAAAAGGTGTCAGGTGAGTGGCTAGTACAAAGTGGTCTGTGTTAAACAGGAGACAGTAAGACTGCAATGGGATGTTCATAATGAGATAACGAATATGTGAAATGAAACAGGTGGAGGCATATATTGAGAAAAGAGATAATATCACTAATAATAAGTCCGGATAGTATAAACGAAAAAAAAATTCTATAGTATTGAGAGAATGTTTGCATGAAGGGCATAAATTATGACGAATAATAATAATAATAATTGTAATAATAAGCAAAGGAAAAAATAAGCCAAGAGGGTTAAGGGGAAGGAACACTCTTGGTGAGAAGAAGAATCATCAATCCAAGTTTGGTCACAGCTTGAACAGCGTCTGGACGTGTTCTTTTTGGATACAAAGTTCCGGTTTAGTCGATCTTATTGCAACAGCTTCAGCTATTTGTAGAAGACGTAAGCGAAATGTACGTGATAACGACTTCGGAATTCGGTGTATAACCCTGAAAGCTGTGTTGACATCCATATGGTGTCCAGTATCAAACAAGTGTGACAGGATCGAGCTTTTTATGCACTTAATTTCCCCTCTGCTGAACCAAGCTGGTAAATGTTCTCGAACCCGTAGACGAACCTGCCTAATCGTGCGCCCTATATAACTTGAACCACAGGAACAGTTGAAATGGTATATGCATGAAGAAGAGCTAAGATTAGGTAAAACATCTTTGAGTTGCTGGGTGAACATTGGACGGCTACTGAAGGATAGACACAGACGTGCAGAGTAGAAAGTTTTCTTGATCACCCTGGTTAAACGTTGCGATAGAATCTCCGCAGGAGTATCTCCCTTGAATTGGAGACGTAAAAACAGAGGCTTTTTCTCCACCGTTGTCAGTTCATGTTTACGGCTATTGTAACCTATGTTTGCTTTAATGAACTTCTCTGGATATCCGTTCTCACTTAGAATGTCTCGGATGACCTGGAGTTCTTTCTCTACACAGTCTTCGGAACAAATCGACCTTGCTCTAAATGCTAAGCATCTGATCAGATTGCGTTTGTATTTCATCGGTACAAAGCTAAGGAAGTCTGTATACTGAGCTTTGGTCTCTAGCTTTCTAAATATGGTTCTTTTGACGGAACCATCCTCTCTTCTCGTTAGTAGGACGTCGAGGAAGTGTACAGAGTCGTTGTATTCTCCTTCGTAGGTGAAATGGACCGCTGGGTGAACATTATTGAAGTTGCTCAGAATCAAATCACTACTTAACCCTTCATCGTACACTACAAAAGTGTCATCCATGTAACGACAATACATTTCCATATTTGCTATTTCCTCTTTCAACGGACTATTTTCTAGGTTTGCTAGAAATATATTCGCGAAAATAGGTCCCAGTGGGGATCCCATGGCTACTCCATCAATCTGTCTGTATATTTCATTATTAAACAAGAACTGAACATTTGTTGTACATTTAGCAAGTAGTTGTTTCAGATTACTAATCGGAATATCAGTGCACAATTTCTTTTCTATAATCTGTTCGCAGATATAGTCGATGGTTTCCACTAGAGGCACATTAGTGAATAGAGATGAGACATCAAGTGATGCCATGTATTTGCCAGTTGTGTTCAAGTTTTTGATCTTATCAATAAATTGAAAGGTATCCTTGACGCTCTTCTTCTTTTTCCTTCACGTTCCCCAGTGGAACATAGGGCTCCAATCTAGTGGCTTGAAGTTTCTTTAGCAGTGTTTATTTTACAGGATGAGGTTGCTAGCCTCATGCCCAACCTTTCCTCTTCACCAGATTTTAGTTCTGGTTTAGCGAGGTAAAGGAGTGTGTCGGCCAGGGACCGAGCCCCGGACCATGTGCATGGTCGGCGAGCGTCCCAACCGCTATACCACCGACGCAGCAGCGGAAGTATAGCGTAAATGATACCTCGACCAGCTTGGGACTTGATTAGCTGAATACATATATTTGCATTTCAATGGGTGGCAGTGTTCTCACTGAGGCTGAAATCCAAGCGTTAACAAACAGGATGATGAGTTCCCATAGGCATCCTCTTATGTCAGAGGGTGGGTATTCTTCCGTTTACCTCTCAATACGCGCTCTCATGTGATCAAGCGTCTATAGCCTCCGCCAGTCAGGCAAGTCCTATTCATCATACTAAGTTTTGCGATTTTCGTACGGAGATTAGTCAGATTGACACCGATGTACAGTTCGAGAACTTCTATATACAAACAGGGGACTTGGTCGCCTCCTCTGATGAGGACCTAGAAAGATTCAAATCAATCCTGGTAGACTGTTGCTATCAGTATAGACAGAAGGACAAGAATAAGCCCCATAGTATACTCACAAAAGCACATCGAGAAGCTGTTAAAAAACTAAGACGAAATGAAAGCATAGTTATCACGAGACCGGATAAGGGACCGGGGATAGTCATTATGGATAGGCAGGACTACATCAACAAGATGAACTCCATACTAGCTGACGGCAGCAAGTTTCAGAAGCCGAAAGCAATGAAAGATCATACGGAGAAAGTAGAGAAAGAAATAACAAACTTATTAAAGGATTTGAAGAGTAAGGGGTATATATCACCAAAGACTTTCGAAAACATAAAACCCACAGGTAGCACCATCTCACGCATGTATGGTCTACCGAAAGTGCATAAATCAGGAGTACCCCTACGCCCCATACCAGACATGTCTCATTCACTCTATCACGAGACCGCGAAGTGGCTGGTACAGCTACTTCAACCCTTGCATGACGAATTAGTAAAGCATAGCGCCCTTCCGTGTAAAGTTCTATGTTAAAACTTAGATAAGCTATTTCGTTGTCTTTCCAATTATGGTGGTGTGTGTGTTTGTGCGGAGGTGGGTGGGTGGTAGTCGGCTTCAAGGTTATGCTAAACATGTTTCTAGCTAGCTAGTAACGCGATCAATTCAGTAGTATAAAATGCGAGAAATGTGATGCGAGAATAATTGTGTGTGGTGTTTTTTTTAATTTAAAAAAAATATGCACAATTATTTATGGTAACGAGATGTGACAGATTGGTGGTATAGTTAGTACACAGTTAGTTATTTAGACATATTTACAATAAAATGGTATTTGTGTGTGTGTGTGTGTGTGCGCATAGGTAGGTAGGCATGTACATATACGTGTGTCTGATTATCTAATTATCAATTAGTAGTGGAGTGATAAACTGACAGCGAATATTCCTGATGGCAAATTCAAAAGTATTCAAAAAATTCCATATGAATGGTGATAATAATGTGATATATATATACATTCATATACATGTAATTTCTCGTTATTAGCTTGTCTGTTTTAGGTATGTCGGTCTGTCGATATACGTGTTTACACGTATGCGACTCTCTTGGCTTATTTATTTATTGAAACACAAATTTTGGTACTTAATGGGTACCAAGTGATGTGTAGCATAAAATCGCATAGTTAGTGCGATGATTGATATATAGTGCTCCGGAGGCTTAGATTGAAGCTACTACTGGTTGTCTGAAAGCGTCACACTCTTCTTCAGCCGTTGGCTTGAAGTTTGATCCACATGGCAGGGGAGCAGTGTTAGTGTCAGCAGCTGCATCCTTATGGGTTGACAGGGACCAAAAACAGGTTCATACACGTCATTCCATCTGTCCGCGTTTTGGAGCCAATGTATGTATACACACCATGGGCAAACCTGCACGTCTGCCAGTCTGGTTGATGAGGAACACT